TCTTCCCAGTTTCGGACACGCGGTGTGAGGCTGAATCTTCCTGACATAAGAATGAAGATGGAGTTTTGGGCAGGACACCCCATCATACTTGGCAAAAACCGGAGCTTTGAACTTCTGAGGGATGACCACTCCCAATACCAAGCCCAATTCTTCAAAATCCAACCCAGGTATCCTCTGAACTTCCATGGCACTCAGACGATCCTCTAACTGTTTGTATCTATCCTCAGCAGGAGGATATTGCTCATCGTTATAATCAGTATCATTGTCAGAGACTGAAGGACTAGGGTCCTTTTCCCCTTCTTGGTTCTCCCCTTCCTTGGATGAAGAGGTCAGATCAGTTTGTTGCTTCAACCTTTCTCCAAACCTTCTGCCCATATTTAGAATACCGACAACCTTCTTCTTCTTCTTCTCTTTCAGAATGAGGGCTTTCAGATCCTCTTGCCCTTTTGCCAGACTGATGAACATTTATTGGAATTGGGCGTTCTGTGCCTGAAGATCTTTGATGGCTTGATCGGAAGACATTTTGTGGGATAAACATCGAAGAAGATGAGAAACCTGTAGTGGTACCTGTAATGATGTGTATGATAATGGGATGCGCATGTAATGATTTCAAAGACTTCGGGAAATTTAAATTTGCAAACCAAAATAAACAAAAACTTTATTAGCTTAAATTTGAAGGTTCAAAATGCCTTTAAGGCGTTACAAATAAGTAAATAAAACAAATCTAAAACTAGAAAAGAAAAATCAAAAGTCCCATGGACGCTTTCTCTTTGTGCTGATATAATAATTGAGCACTCTTTCTTCTTGGAGCTGTCTGGTGAGCTTTAAAACCGTCCTCTATTGATCATGGAACTGGTCCCTATAAGTATCCTGCTCATTCTTCAGCTGAATCCAAGACCTCTGTAAATCCCCAAGATCAGTGGGCATGTAAGGATAGAGAACCATCTAAGGAATGCCTTCTTCAGTAATGGGCTCCACAATCACTGGTAATACGACCACATAAGGCATCATAAGCTTCTGGGCACGAGCTCGTACCCATTGGAGGTAAGGCTCCATAGGAATGGAAGTCTTTGGTCCCCAAATATTTGGTGTCAGATCTATTTACCATGCCCTAAGCTCGTATGAACCTCTGGCGATACTCATTAACATTATCCTCATAGTTGAATACAATGCCCTCAATAAGTAACTCATGGGGACCATCCCTTCGAGCATGAACAAATTGTTGCAAAGCTAGACAAGGATTGTAAGTTATTCCCCCTTCGATACCAAGTAATGGGACATTAGGGTACTCCCCACAGCGGTCAATAATAGCAATATCTTCCATAGCTCAGGAACACCAAAGAATATCCGTATGAGCGAGTGACATTATCCTTTGCGACCAACCCAAACCTTCTTCGTTCTTCGGTACAGACTTAGGGAGGTGAGAAATAAACCACCTCGACAGCAACGGCATGCAGCACATAAGAGTCCCTCTTCTCTTCATGGTACGAGTATGGAGAGTGTGCAAAATATCTCCAAGCAAGGTAGGCACAGGGTTGCGAGAAAGGAAAATCTTGATAACATTCACATCTACAAAGGAGTCCAGATTAGGCAAGAGAACTAAACCATAGATAAGAAGAGCTAAGACCTCCTCAAAAGCCTTAAAATCCATATCATCCCAAAATAGTTGAGCCTTGTCTATCATAAATTTGGCTAGAAAACCCTCGACTCCGCTTCGAGTTTCCCAATTGGATACCACGTCGGCCCGTTTCAAATGCAAAGTTGAGGAAATGACTTCTGGCTTAGTAACTTCTTCTATATTTGTGAAGGGTGCCTGTTCAAGAATGGGTATGCCCAATAGCTGAGAGAATTCTTCCAAGGTGGGTACCAACTGATAATCTGGAAAGGTGAAGCAGTGATGCTTGGGATCGAAGAACTGAAAAAGTACGATCATCATCTGTTCATCAAAGTTTGAAGTAACTAGGATGAGAAGTTGACCGTGTCTCTTAATGAAAGTATAAGTTTCAGAAACTCTTGATACTAGCTCTTTGAGTTGGGAAGGTATCTTCACAAAGCTGATTCAGATAGTATTTCTATGCACGGAAGCCATGATCTGCAAAATAGAACAAAGATAAATTCCCTTGGTCTTTGGAATGGTTAGTGTAATGAAGCATGAATGCCATGTTATGGTGCATGATGTCATGATAAACCACAGGTATAGCAAACACAGGTATTGCAAACACAGTCAAATCACACAAAGCCCTTAGGTTTAAGGCTTGCACGAGGTCAAAGGTAGTACCCTCTTAAAGTTTAGTTGGTTCAAACCTGTCCTAAAAAGTAACTGGGTTCTAGAGTATCTCAATATCACTGACCATCCTTTATCGGTCATGGTTTTAGCTCACACAATCTTTTCTTGCGACCGAAATATTCCGAAAGTATGATCTCAATGAGTGTAGCATCGAGTATCAACCAATCCTCAGCTCTACACCGAGGCCGGCTATCTAGCTACTTTCTAATGTCCAAGTTGTTCAACTAAGGTTCTAAGGTTAGTTAGTGCTTCACGACACCACGCAGCGGCCCCGTATTCTCCTCGTTTCACCACAAGGGATACCAGTACCAACCAAAGTGCCACACCAACATAGCTACTGCTTTAACCGTATTGGTCTACGTTGTACAGTTCCCTCACAATCTATTACTACTTACCTAATGAGTGCCCCCATAGTCGGGTATAGGATCTATAGTAACCCCAAACAAAACCCTCAAAAATAAATCAAACAAAGCAATCAAGAGAAGCAATTTTAATGACCTAGATCCTAAGGTATACCCCACTTATAAGTCCCCAGCAGAGTCGCCAGTTCTATGATACGGTGGCAGAACCGACTGTTTTTACTGGTTCGCGTTTTGCATTTTTTATTCGCAAAATATCCCGGTAAGCAAGAGTCGCCACCGACTTTTATTTCATTCAACCGGAAAGGAAAAAAGTACAGAAAAAAAATTCTTTTTCGAGATTTTGAGTACGAGGGGTAGATTATAGAAAGGGAAGGTGTTAGCACCCTTTCTATCCATGGTTTTCCATGGGCTCTTAGGTACTTGCTCATTTTTTAATTGCTTGTGTTTGTGTGCTTGTTTTTGAAAAATGTTTTACTTCGTGATAACCCTTGTATCAGTCCTCAAGAGTGTGATGAAGTTGTTTTGAACATTTGTTTGAAAAGTGTAAGTGTGAAAAGTTTTGATTTGAGCAAGTACCTACTAGAATCTACCTACTCGAAAAAAGATTGTTTTTGTTCTATTTACTTTAGACAGCGCTATCCCACTATTAAGGAATAGGTAGCACCGTTGTTGGAGTTTGTAAGGGACGTTCGAAAGGGACAAATACAATCATTAAAGAAATAGTTAGAAAACCTTAGTAGTAACCCTAGAGTCTTAAGATCTTTTCGAGGCAACATTTTCGAGGCAACATTTTCGAGGCAACATTTTCGAGGCAACATTTGAATGGGACATTTGATCTTTTAGACAGGAGGGCCACCACTAAAATCTCCTATGCTTAATGATTGTGTACCGAAGGCAACCGAAGTGAGGTAAACCCTAGGAGTGAACATGTGCGAGTGATTTGTTTCAGTTATTTAATCTTTGCACATTAGGGTTTTCTAACTGTTCTAATTTTTCATGCATTCTTGCCATACAATCCTATTAGCCATACATCTAGACAGCTAAAAAGTTTGCTGAAAGTAAAAGCGGAAATAAACCTAGCTATTACATGGCTTTGACAGTTACATAATTGCCTTGACGTGAAATAAAAAATGCAGAATTTGAAATCCTAATTTAAACTATTATATCCTTGAAACAGTTACAAAATAATGGCAAAAGTAATAACCAGCGCGCGACAAATTAAATACATGAGAAATTAGGGTTTTGACCCTTGACTAAACCTAATTGCAATTGATTAAAGAAAAATCATTTTTTGTCGTTTTTGTTATTTTAAGAAAATAAGGAATAATTGAATTAAAAAAAGAACCTAATTACTAATTAACTTTAATTAAGAAAAATAATTAAGTTAACCTATTTTTTGTGTTTTTGTTTGAAAAAAGAAAATAATTAAATCAAGAATTTAAACCTAGTTTTCTAATTGATTTTAATTGTAAAAATAAGTTAAAGTTACCCTAAATTAAATTAAGCTAATTAATTAAATTAAATTTAATAAATAAAAAAACTAATTCTAATTTTTATGACTTTTTGATTTTTATGATTTTATAAATAAAAACTGATTTTAAAAATAAAATAAATAAAGAATTAAGAATAAAGCAAAATAAAATAATAAGAAGAGAAAAATTTGAGAAATGGGTCTGTGTTGTTAGGAATGTTCACTACTAAAAAAAAGACATTTGAGAAAAGGTTTTTACATCGGGTATCAAAATATATGATGTAAAAAATACAATTAACAAACTTTTTACATCAGGTATTTATTTGCAATGATATAAAAAATATGAAAAAATATATATTTCGCTACCTATTACATCGGGCAAACGCATCCACCGATGTAAAAAGTTTTCAGAAAAAAATACGGTGGCATTTTTGTAAATAAGAAACAAGGTAGTAGAAATATTAATAAAAAACATGCAACATATTACATCGGTTGACTAAACACCGATGTAATATCTTCACAACAGATATTAATATAAAAAATAAATTAAAGAATAAATTAATTTTTTTGTAACTTATTACATCGGGTATTACAATACACCGATGTAATAGGTGTACCCTTACATCGGGTATTAAATGCACCGATGTAATAGGTGCATTGTAAAAATAAAAAAAAAACTGTATCTAAAGCAAATCACCAAACCCATCTCTTATCTCTCACCTCACTCCATCATCCTCCAAACCAATTTCTCCTTTTCATAAACCCTATTCCCAATCTTCTAAACTTCAACTTCAATTTCTCCACTTCCCATTCCTAAAAGAAAAACCATACTATTATCATTATTATCCAAAACTCAGAACTGGAGTTCCTTCCCTAAGAAATGCCAAGTGTGGCTGTAAAACTCTACAGCGTATTCTTCAAGTTCCTCTTGAAGCACCGTTTACAAAACCGGATTCAAGCCCAACCCGACAATAACTCCAACTCGTTTGGTATCACTTCACGACCCGAAGAATCCGTCGCTAACTCTAACCCTTCTTTTACTGACGGCGTCGCCACCAAGGATATCCACATCGATCCTTTCACTTCTCTCTCTATCTGAATCTTTCTTCCTCACTCCGCTCTTTCTCCTCCCGAGCCTCATTCCAAACCTAACTCCAAACCTAAACAACAAGCTCCCGAACCTGGATCTGTACGGAGAAGTAGCTATGGTCCTCCGTTCAGGGAAGAGCAGCTCCGAGGGAGGAATAGTAACGCTGTTGAGGGTTTGAATTTGATGGGCGCTGGTGTTGAAACTGGTGCCGGTTTGTACCGTGGTTACTCGCCGGCGTTGGATAATCGGCGGAGGAAATTACCGGTGATGTTGCAGTTTCATGGTGAGGGGTGGGTTAGTGGTAGTAATGATTCGGTGGCGAACAATTTGTTTTAATGCTCTTTCCAGATTCTAATAAAAATAGGGTCGCGATGGATGTTATTAACAACTTAATAGCACATTGCAGTTGGATGAATATACACATTGTCCCACCACACGGAGCTGTCTTTGAAATAAGAGTTGCTGATGGATATGGTGCTCGTTGGAATGAAGATGGAAGTAAGGTGTGTGAATACACTAAATTCTGGTGTTTATGTTAGTTTGTTCAAATTTTAGCACTATATGTAGTATTGGACTTACATTTGAATCATCAAACTACTTCTTTTCAATGTATTTGTTTTTCAGTTTATTGGATTTTTAGAACCATACATGCAAGATGGTCATTCAAAAGGATGGAAGCATTAGTTCTGCTAGCCAATCTTCCCAAGATCATAGCAGCCAGCAACACCTATGTAATTGAATACCACTTTTCCATTTTAGCTTGTGATTATGTGTATTATATATATTTTTATCTCTACTATTTGGCACTGCTATTTAGCTAACAACTAGTTCTCATACCCTTATAAATGATATGTTTTATGTTGGATCTCGTGTATTGGGGCGGGAGTTTACTGCAAAATATGAACATGAAGAATATTGAAGATGACACGATAATAGTTGCACAAATAAGTATCGAAGTTTTTTGTGAACACACTAAGCTTAAAGTTTGATTACCTTCACTAATTTTGACAAATTAGATGCAAATGGATAAACCGACAAATCTCTTTCTGAATAGTTTAGAAACCTTAACGTCAATCATATACCTCATATACCTGCTTTTAGCTGTTGATGTAGCATTAGTTGGGAGGTACAGACCAACGAACCTGTAATTGTCTCTCTTTGTTTACATGCATTTGTGTAGCCGTGTTTTCGTGAATAAACAAGTAGGATGTGTAAAGTTTGGCCAAACTGTTTCAACAGCCAAACCATAGAATGATAGAAACATCTTTAATCAAAGGCAACAATGTCCATGTCTCCTATTTTAAACGTTATTGTTTGCTTTATTTTTATTTTATTTTATTAATGCACTTGATCGTATTTTTATCAATTCCCAATATTGATCCCTTCATTTTTTCTATGTTAATTCTCATGATCAGTATCAAATTGTTGTTGTTAAATATGGTAATTTGGTTTTCGTTTCCTAATAATAGTTTCTTCTAATCATTCTGCATCTATGAATAGCAGCCACCGGAAAAGTGACACCGACACCGACACATTGACATCAACACCGACAAGTTAACACCAGTAATAATTTGAAAAACAGGAATAAAACAGGAGTAATTTTGGATTAAAAAATGTCAATTTAACTATATTGCCTGCAATTTTTGCTACTTTGAGGTTTACAGGCACATAAATAAACTCATTTGATCTAATCTATGGACAATTTTTCAAAAGAGTTTATGAAAATGGTTTATGGCATGGCGTGTCTAATTATATCTATAAGCTATTTTCAGATTATGTTTATATACTCTTCAAAGAAAACTTATGAAAACGGCTTATAGTTTATGAGACTTTAATTTTGATTTTATGTTATAAGGGGTAGCGGCGCAACTTGTTGTCCGTTGCATGCTATTTCTGTATAATATTGATTATATTTTAACTTATTTTTTTACAAATGTATACATCATCTGAATTTATGAAGTTGTTAATCCCATTATGGCCATAGTATTCTTAATATATACTTTGATTTTGAAGCAGGTGGTTTTTTGATAATATTTTGAAACTGTTTATTCATTTTTGTTATATTGTTTTGCTAGAGCAGTGGAATAATTTGCAGTGGACACTTAGTTTGATTCCGTTGATTAAAGCATTGCAGCTCATGCTATCTTTCCTCTTCTGGTAAGTTTCGGACCTTGTTTATTGGCTTGTTGAATATGAATTGGATTTTTAGCTTTATAGTCTAAGATTTTTTATATTTTTTATATTTACTAGGATAACATTGTATCATCTTTCGCATAGTTCAAACAAGGAGATATTAGCCTTACAAAAATAAAAACAAAGATTTGAAATTTGATTAGGATTATTTGATAAATCAAGGTTCTGTTTGCATGTATTAGGATAGGATAGTTATTGATAGAGATTAAGGTAATCTCAAATGCATTCATGTTGGGTTGCAAATGATTTTTCTGGTGTGAGACTGAAGAAATCTTGGCATGCTTGAAGCTTGTTTGATAGAACATTTGTCAATGTATTTGTGACACCAATTTTGCAGGTATTCATGCTTCAATTTCCAGGCATGCTCTTTGTGGATGTCGTTTGGTGTATATGTAACTGGTGTGCTCTTTCAGACAGCTGCTTTTGTATCCTTTTTGCTTATTTCTCATGGTTACTGTATAATGTGCGAGCACCTTTCTTTAACGCCGTTCCACTGCCGCACTTGCATGTGTCTTTTACTTGACTCTAGTTGGTTACAAGGCTTCTGTTCCATACTTCACAGTAAGTTTCTTAGATGGTCGTTATAATATGCAATCCGATTGAAACTTCTTTCTGTTTTGAATGGAGCATTTGAGATTTGTAATAAACATGTTTAGTTTTATGATGCTAATCCATATTTAAATAAATGTACAGGTGCTTCTGCTTCTAAATTATTTTATTTCATTCTATGTAATATTCCACCATATATCCCAAAACCTACTAGTGTTGCGAGAACAGTTGAGCATTATTGAAAATGAGGATGTTCCAGCAATGCATGATGCTGTGTATAAAAAGTACATAATGTTCAAGTAAGTGTCACATCTGGGAAGTGTATATTATAAATAGTTGAATATTTTTTGTATATTGGTAATTTAAGTTTGGAAACTTATAAATAGTTGAATATTTTTTGTATATTGTGTGAATAATATGTAATTGTAAATTTTGAAAAAAGACTTATAAATAGTTGAATATTGTTGTATATTTTGTGAAGAATTTGTAATTGTAAGTTTGTTTGTTGTAATACAATACAAGTTTGCAATACAATTGTTCAATTTGTAAGTTTGTTGTGAAAAATATGAAAACATCGACCTAGATGTGATGTTGGAAAGCTATGAAATCTATATAGCGACATAAATATAGTCTGTGTGATATTGGAAAAATATGAAAAAATGGGTACAAATTATATTTGTACAGGGAAACATCCAGAAAATAAATAATCTATTCCAAAAAAATTTCATACATTTTACATCGGTTATTAGTAAAAACTGATGTAAAATCTTTCAAAAAGGGACTTTTTACATCGGTTGGGGATAATAACCGATGTAAAAAGTCGCGTCACTGGGGACTTTTTACATCGGGTATTACTTCTAACCGATGTAAAAAACTGGATCAATTTTTTTAAAAAATGTGCATAATAACTGTTTCTTACATCGGTTCATATATTATAACTGATGTAAAAAAGGGACTTTTTACATCGGGTATTACTTCCAACCGATGTAAAAAACTGGATCAATTTTTTAAAAAATATGCATAATAACAGGTTATTACATCGGTTCTGATATTATAACCGATGTAAAAAAGGGACTTTTTACATCGGTCCCAGAACCGATGTAAAAAGTCCCTGATTTACTATATCGCCTGACTTTACATCGGACCCAGAACCGATGTAAAAAGTCAATTTCACCCGATGTAAAAAGTCATTTCTGCACTAGTGGTTGGGGGTGTAGCACTGAAAATCTGTGGCCCATTAAGCTTCAGGCCTGGTTAGCGCTAGATCTGGTATGGTGTTGACTTTATGGTAGACCATGGTCCTTCATTGGAGAGGCGTGGGATCTAGCCCGCTGAGCATCCAATGGACGTACATTGATGGCACATGATGGGCGCTGGATAGTGCAATGCATGGGATTGGCCTGCAATTGTTAAGAAAATCGCAAAATGCACACGCTTGGGATCGAACCCAGGGCGTGTACATCAAAGGCAAGCTTTTTTACCATTTGCACTGGACTTGTTAATTAAATATATTATAAAAAAATAAAATCAAAGGCAAAGTCAATTTCCACGCTCAGAAAACGCGCGAATTTTCAAACGTTCCAATGGTGGCTTGACACGCCATCATCTTCTCCCTTGAATCGTGGCTTTAGATGAAGCACTTTTACCTACGGACGTCCACTGTAGGTATAACCCTGCATATTTCAAAAATGTTGTACACGCAAGATAAATGAAAGGTAATGGTACCAATCAACTCGTCTCATCCTCACGAGCATCATGGTACCTGATTCAAGGCCTAATTTTTCATGTACAAAAAGACCCTAAAAATAAAACAAAAACCCTAGTAATGGCAACATCGTGTACAGGCATCAAAAATGCAATTAAATGAGATGGTTATCTTATAAACATGATGAAGATTACAAATATATGAGGTAAGGATGCTAATGATGCAGGAATTAGTGTAATCGTTTTCAAAAAATAATGCAAACCGTGGGAGTCCTTGCGTGCGTTTCTGGGTGTTTCAGCACTTGCAAGTGATTGGGATAGGTTCTGGGAAGGACTGGGAGTCGTTTGGTAATGCTAGAATGACTTGACTTGGCCTCCAGAATGGAATTGAATCACCACTTTTTCCCCTTGAATTTTGAAGCTTGTTCTTGCTGTTTGCGTGCCTCCACCCTTGTCTTTGATCTGGAATTGTTCACTATATAACCTAGAGTGAATTAGGTTAACAAACTTGGACTAAATCTTTGCATTTATCCAAGATTTGATTTGATTTGCAAGCTATATGATATGTTGCTATTTTGAGCCAAATCATGCTTTTCTTGTACCAATTGACCTTGATTCGATTTGAACTTGTTAACTCAACAATATCTTGATTGTCAATCTGTCAAAAAAACAAATCAAATCATATCTTTGTTAATTTTCATCATTTATTTGATTTAATTCACTTTTTAATTAATTAAAAATCAAAATAAATTGAAAAATGGAGCACATAATGGGTGAGTGAACATTTGAGTCGTGGACCATATTATAATTGATATGCAAGCATAAAAAGTTGGGCCCATTTAGCAAAAAATGCAAATTTGAGCACATTTGACTTTTGGCAATTTTGCAAAAATGGTCAACTTGGCCCATGCATAACTATCTCAATTTTAACCCTAGAGATGTGTTCTTGGACTTTTTAGAAAGCTTAGGATGTCCTCTAAACAACCCTTTTGGTCTTATCTCAATTGAGTCTTCCATGTTTATGTATGAAGCTTTGACTCAAAAGGTGTTTTTGTTGACTTTTCAAAAGGACCTATAATGTCAAAATTCATATCTTTTTGTAAATGCATATTCTGGACTTGGGAGATGAAGATTAATCATAGGTAATTGCATACTCTTCAAAATTAGCTTTGGATGGGTCGTTTCTGATAAAGTATGAGAAATTTATACTTGGTCAAAGTTGAGTTGACTTTTCCTAT